AAGGTTAAAAAAAAGGTTTAAAAAAAAAAAAAAAAAAAAAGTGCAAAAATATTTAGTAGAACTCAAACAAGACTTACTCTTACTTTCATAAACTTCCTCTTTCATTTACTGCAACCCTGCATCCAGAAAACAAATAAACATTTGTGCATCAAGATTGTCATTTGACAGTTTTTTTTATTTAAAAAAATAAAAATAAAATCTCTTCCCGTCTACTCATTTTTTGACAATGCAAACCTAAACAAGGGTGTACAAATGGCAAAACCCTTCCAAGATGGTATCCACAATGTTTGAATGGTGCCGGGTATAGTTCACAACACTTGAACAATAGGTAGTAGTGAAAAATTATATATATATATATATGTAAATGCTCTAATATCACTTTATGGCATCCCGGATCTCAAATTTTTGAGTGTCCCTAAAAATTAACTTAAAAGTTCAAAGTAACATAAAGGAAAGTTTGTATGATATCATCGACCCAATAAAAAGACTAGTCATTAAAGAACATTCATAATAATAAATCAATCTTCTCAAGACAAAGTCGCAGGTTTCAATAAGTTTAGTTTACAGAGGAAAAAAAAGGTCCAAAAAATTACTCAAAACCATAACCAGAAAAAATCATTCCTTGAATATATTTAATAAATCCGCCCGTCAGCTATATTTAGTTTAATCAGCTCGAACCGCTAATTACCTTTAAGGTAAAAAAGGAAGCGAACGAGATAATAATCAATAGTTACAATGGAAAACTATATATCATGTTTAAATGAAGAAAATAAAATTCATAAATAGCGGAATTTTGTTTATCTCCTTCAATTGTTACAGAACTTGTCCAGTAATAATATTATCAGGATAATTCCTTTTTGCATTATATGAATTCAACTGATTGGAATTTTGTTAATGACTTCCCCTATCTAGGACACTGCAGAAAAGACGGAAAATTTATTATTTTTTCTTGATGCATATTCATATAAAACATTTTAATAAGAAACATTATATTCATTGAATTCTTTAGCAATATGGTAATAAGAATTATAGTTTAGAAAAACTATATTAGAATTTTGCTATATGCGCTTAGACAGTACGTTTCAATTTGCATGTATCTCGGATTCAACCAGAGTTAAATTGCAAAATTAGATATCTTCTTACATTGCAAAATTTACAGGCAAAAAATTCGATTCTGTTATGTATTCTTGATTGGTAGCATGACGTGCAGTATTGAATTGCAGAGAAAGATGGAGAAATTGAAGACAGGAATCTTTTCTGGGTACCTGAAGTTGTATCCTGGTAGATACAAGGTTGGTTCATTTTCACACCTTGCCTATGTTTTCCACAGAGATGCTTTTGAATCACCGAATGTTTTTGCATAGAGAACGAGAACGAGATCAATGCCAAGTTTCTTCTAAATGTAAGTGGCCGTGTGTTTTCTTGTACTGATTATCTGCACAGATCTGTCTTGATCCTTTGCTATCACTCTCAATCCAATACTGTTGGGGTCAAACCAATAACACAACTGAGCAGCCAAAACAATTTCAACCCCTCCAATAAGCAGAATTAAAATGTGGCAATAATATCCAACTCCAACTCACACACACTTGTAGGAATTTAAAGATAGAACACAAATTATTTGTTCACTAGGGAAACCCTTCAGTGTGAAGGAAAAACCCTGGGACCTAATCCAGTAAAAACTATTCACTATCAAAATAATGGGATACACAGTTAACCTTCTCCAAATCACAATCTAGAGGCTACCAATGCATCAAGAACACATATGGTTCTTGGATACCAACAACAACAACATCCAAAATAAATACACACAATAATAAGGAGAAAATCTCACTAAATTAGTGTGTACGGCCCAGAGAAATGGATAGGAATCTGGATGATCGGCTCCAATCAAAACATAGCCCTTTGCGCCACGAATAACATATTGAAATATTAGCTTAATCGGACCACAAACGAGCCTCCATCATTGGCGAGAAAAAGCTGAAGAACCGAAGTGTCTCTCTCTCTCTCGTCCGTCTCTCTGCCTTTGTTGTAATTTTGTGTCTTAGAAATGAAGCCCCATTTTCTGCCTCTATATTGGAATGGACTTGGGGCTTTTAAGTGGGTTGGGCCCAAATGGGCCAAGAAAGGGCAAGTCCCACAAGTGGAGGGAAAGCCCAACAAATACTGTAAAACAGCAAACAAACAAGGCTTTCAAGTCCCTACTTCAAAAACAATAAGCACATATTTCAGGCTAATTCGTTGTGGAATTGCCAATTTCACAGAATATCTTCGTACAAGATGAAGCGGATAGTTGGATGGCTTGCCTTACGATCTTAGTTCCTTGATATTGCTTATCCGATTCGAGAAATGCCCATCACATGTCCTTAGAACAAAGGAAAATCCACTCCCGCAATAGACTCTGGCTATGGCACATTCCTCGGCTAGGTTATGATCTAAGCTCACCACCTGAGGGTCAGTTTGATCAACAGTATCCCCTAAGCCAAGCTGACCGTGTTCACCCCAACCCCATGCCATTAGTGATCCTTTCCCTGTACATTTGGAATTTGGAATTTGGAAAACTAAGTAACTTGAATACACAATAAATTTTCAAAGGTCCAACTAAAAATGAGCTCTTGCCTGTTACTAAAGCCGAGTGCTCAGCACCTGCAGCAATATGTATAACTTCTGTTTCATCAAGATTAGGAATTCTTTTCAGGATCCCTCCCTTTAATTCTTCTGTTGAACAAAATACAAATCCTCATGGACCAAGTATAGTAAATAGATTGAATGAATGCCAATTAGTACATAATAATTTAGTTCAGTGATGGTTATCTCTTAGTCCATAAATCCATTTTCTTATTTTGGGTTCTTTGAAGTTCCAATTTTCACCTGATAGTCCACTTCAGAAATTTAATGGATTTTACTGATGAAGATTTCAGTTAGTGTAAGAGTCAGATTACCATCCAGCATTACCAGATGTGTGCTTCAACAAGGCTGTTTTCTGAGGATCACCAAGTGCTCCATGATGATAGCCACCGAGCATAAACACTTTATGCTCACCTGCAAAAGTATTTAAATATTCATAGGACAAATGCATATATATATATATATATATATATATATATATATGAGAGAGAGAGAGAGTGTGTAAGTCGCATACTTGTTAGCACCAAAGCATGGTTCCAACCAAGAGCAACCTGGTTGAATGACAAATCTGCAGGAATACAATGCGGAATATACGAATCTGAGGCACCGTGAAACCCTCTTCCCCATGTGTAAAGATGTCCACCAGCTAATGTAACAATGTTAGCAAAAACAACAAAACAAAAACAAAAAAAAAAAAAGCGAATAACCATGATGCCTGAATAAGATACTTAATCTGTTTGAGTTTTAGCAATGTTTCTTTGCCTGGACTGTGCCTATACCAGGTCCAGCATTATAAGTAACAAAATAAGGTGTGCATTCATTGGTTTTTAACAAGAAATTACTCCAAGATTCCAAAAGTAGGCCAAGTTGTTTCCTGTTATAGTCATGTAATAGAGCAGTTTGCAACTACCTGAAGGAGAGGATCATGGATCTGGAAGCCATAGCAACAGCCAAGTTGTTAAAGAATGAAATGTGGGACTTACCAGATAATGCCGCACTATGGTCTCCATTTGCATTAATACTGACGATTTTGACATCAGTAAATCCCAAAGTAATCTGAGGAAGACTTGCTGATTTGACTTTATCGGTAGATATACCCAGTTGACCACGCTTTCCAGAACCAAATCCATAAACTTGATCTCGCAAAGGATCTGAATCAACCAAATACATCAAATCTAAAGTGTAGGTCTAGAATTAGATTTTGAGATCATTAGAAGATGCGAGCATATGTTAGAAATAGTAATAATTCTTGACAACTAAAAGAAACATAAAGGATCTTTTTTTTTTCTTTTCTCTATTCTCTTCGGTTATTTTGGTGCACGGGGGCTGGAAGTACCAGAACACAGATTTGAAAAGAATCCAGTAACATTCTACATCTGTGTTCTAATGAAGAGACAGACACACTTGTAATTTTTCCATTAAGTACTCCCATTTCCTTTCGAAGATTGTGAAAATCCAATCAAGAACGATGGATTTCGCACTATGGAGGAAAGCCAAGGTTCCAAGTTTAGTAGAACCACAAATGTGATCCTCTGTGCATGTAAAAACTGACTTGGCCTACTTACATTGTCTATAGTATTGTTGATCTGCTACCGGATTGAGCAAATATATCTTTAATGTTATATGAGAAGACCTGAAGATTTTCTCTCGCTAAACAAATTGATAGACCCCTACTTGTTGAAACACAATATTTGTTGAGTTCGTTATTGAACTTCATATCCTATTTTGTTTAGTTTACTACTTACAAATTCTGTTGTGGAATAAAAAGAACTGCAAATATTGGGCAGCAGGAACTTGTCTGTCATAAAGGTTGCCCTAGACCTTCATTATATCCTCAGTAAAAAGGATATTTTATGCTCTGCATGTGTGGCCTAGTTGATGTGTACATTTGCTAATCTCACGGAAGGAAATGTGTTTTAGCATCTTTAAGTACATATGACTATGTTTGAATCTCTACCATCAGTTGGATCATCTTCTTTCATCTCACAACTGTTTCATAAATTTATAACATAGCAATTAGGTCATGTTTGTGGGCTTAAGTATGAGCATAAGCATACATTTCACAGATATTTCCTTAACAAACAAATCTACAAATATGACTTTAGCTTAATTCCATGTCAAGGGAAATGCCATCTCTCCTTTCTACAAACACTACATTGGTACTAAAATGTGAAAATCTTTCACATAATTTTGATTTAAGAAAGTATCTAACTTAGAGTTTTTAGATCTAGTATGAATTTTAAACCAAAATTTGTAACTTAATTATAGATATAATTTTATACTCGTAAACAACAAATAGTAGTATTAGTGTCCACTAATACAAATGTTGCAATATTATCAATATCTAAGAGGATAAAATATGATATTAGCTACATTTCACAATGTCCAACTTGATTTGGGTGTCAAATTTTTCTCTCTCTCTCTCTCTCTCTTTTTTTTTTTTTTTTTTTTTTTTTTTTAAGGTTTTTCTTCGAAGAGAGCATTTTTCAGGGATAAGACAACAGATGGTAGCTTCCAAGTTTTATGTTAAAATGGAGGAACTTTTCAGAACAGCCATCACTCTTGTTAAAGCAAAAGATTGCTATCCTTGTTCGTTTAAAAGACCCACTTTATAGATCAAAACTAATTTAACCTAATTAAAAATGGCCACCAATCAAAGTAGAAATTCAACTCCCCAAACTCAAGGAGTTTGGCAAGTATGGAGAGGTTGTCAAGTAAGACAAAATTCAAAGCATACTTCTCATTTTAAATAACTCCTCCATCCCAAACCTTTCCAGTTCCCATTAAATCCTTAAATTATTGCAACAAATCTTCATAATAATGTTGCAACAGTTTTATTTAATTATTAGAAGTTCCTTTTTTAATTCAATAATTCATTAATTTCCATGAGTAAAGAAAGAGAGGCTTTAAAGCTAAGCTATTGCATGCTCTTATTTTAAGAATGAGAAAATACGGGACAAAGTTGAGAGAGAGAGAGGTATAATTTAGATTTTTGAGAAAAAAAGGATTTCGCCATTTTTCACTAACTCCTAAAATGTCCTTTTTATCAATTTTCCTCTATATTCAATATATACATTCATATTATTTTTGTTGTATCTCTGGTCAACTTGAAGAGAGCTTGTACCATATTTCCATGAAGTCATTCACATAGTAGGAGAAACCGTTGAGAGCCAAATGGGTTTTATCTTGTAGCCTGTATTGACTAGTTAGTCACTAAACAAATGGAGGTAAATAATACGACTTTGACTTTCGAAAGGCCAGCTTCTATTAACTCTAGTTCATCTCTGTTCAAAATATTGATTACGGTATCTATTTTTTTGAATCTCCGATGCTCAGACTCTTCGAAATAGTAGGAGAACCCGTGCCGAACACAATACAACATGGGTATGGGTATGGGTATGGGTATGGGATATGTGTTGGATCTTTCAAGTTTCAAATAGACACTTCGTCTTTTTTACTGCTTCTTTCTTCTTCTTCTTTTCCTTTTCCTTTTCTTTCCCATTTTTGCTCTCTATAAACTTAGTACTGTCTCTGAGAGGGTGGAGAAAGGCAATAGTGCTAAGTTTTCCCTTCTTCTTCTTCCTTCTCATTTTACGGGAAGAAACTCGAAAACGAGCGGGTTTATAAATTTCTTGCTAGCCTGAACCACAAACTCGACGATGTAAAAGGAAGAATTCTGGGTCGACGGCCACTGCCCTCAACACGCGAAGTCTTCGCTGAAGTACGGAGAGAGGAAAACTGTCGGAAAGTGATGATGAAGACTGGGACAGCCAGAGATGTGGAGATGTCGGTGCTTGTGTCGACTGGAATTGGATTTGCTGGGAATGAAAATGGGCCATCATCATATGGACTAAAAGTGCTGGGAATGAAAATGGGCCATCATCATATGGGCTAAAGGCTGGGAATATATCATGTGGGCTAGAAAGGAACGAACTTAGGCCTGAAATGAATAAATTTGGGCCCTCTTCTGGACTAGGCAACTTTGGAGCTATTGGGCCTTCTAAGTTTGGGCCTACAGGATTTGGACCTGGGATAACAAATTTATCAAAGGGAGCAACACATGTATTGGGCCAAAAACTACAAAAGGGATGGCCTTGGTGCGAACACTGTCACAAACCGGGACACAAAGAAGATACCTGTTGGGACATACATGGAAAGCCTACTGATTGGAAACCAAGACAAAGTATTAAAAATCGTGTCTATCAAGTTTCAGCCGACCAAACAGGGACATCCAAAGAAATGAAAAATGGAGCATTCAACAGTGAGCAATTAGAACAACTCTACTAGATTTTTTTTAGTCTCCAAACTTCAAGTCAAACTTTTGCACACAATCATTCTAGCTCATTTAGCCCACAAAAGTAGTTTTCTAAAAGCCCTAAATATCTGCTCAAAATATAAAAGTCCCTGGATAATCGACTCAAGTGCTTCCGATCACATGACGGACTCTTACCACCTGTTCTATTCATACTCACCCTGTGTTGGCAATATCAAAGTTAAGATAGCATATGGATCACTCTCATCTGTCGTAGGAAAAGGGAGTATTCGCATCTCCGAGTCTATAAATTTAAAATATGTTCTTCATGTCCAAACTTGTCTTGTAATATATTATCCGTTAGTCAATTAACTAAATATTCCAATTGTTCCGCTAAATTTTCTTAATCTCACTGTGTATTTCAGGACCTATCACCGGGGACGACGATTGGCAGTGCTAAATAATGTGATGGACTTTACTACTTTGACGAGGCGGATGTGAGTAGACAATGTCAACCTACAATTTATAATTCTATGTTTACCTCTAAGGATAGTGATGTTCTATTGTGGCATTATAGAATGGGTCATCCCAATTTTCAATATTTACAACGTATGTTTCCTTCCTTATTTTTGAATAAAACATCTATTGACTTTCAGTGTGAAATTTGTGAACTTGTAAAACATCAATGCACCACTTATCCAAAATCCACATACAAACCATCGAAACCTTTTACTATGATTCACAGTGATCTATGGGGTCCTTCACGTGTTCCCAATCGAACTCACGCCAAATGGCTTGTTACATTCAGAGATGATTATACCCGAATCTGTTGGGTTTATCTACTAAAAGAAAAAAGTGAAGTTCATTCGGTATTTATTAAATTTCACCTAATGATCCAAACACAAATTCAAATTTTACGCACTGATAATGGTACTAAATACTTCAATACCACCCTGGGAGACTATCTCCAAATGCATGGGATAATCCACCAAAGTTCATGTTATGACACCTCACAATAAAATGAAATTGCGGAACGAAAAAACCGACACCTTCTTGATGTTGCTCGTACCCTACTATTCACTACAAATATGCCAAAAATGTTTTGGGGAGATGCTATCCTAACATCAACCTATCTTATTAATTGAATGCCCAGCCGAATCCTATCTTTTGAATCACCTATTCAAAGATTTCAAAAATTCTTCCCCAATTCTCGATTGAATCCAAACATCCCCCTTAAAGTGTTTGGTTGTACTGCATTTATTTACATTCATCCTCATCATCAAAGCAAATTGGATCCTCGCGCAATAAAATGTATTCTCATTGGATATGCATCCACTCAAAAGGGTTATAAATGCTTTGATCCAGTTTCAAAGAAACTATTTGTGAGCCTTGACGTTACGTTCTTTGAGAAGACACCCTATTTCAAGAAAACCTATCTTCAGGGCGAGAATTTGAGTGAAGATCGGTTCCTAGACTTTGATATCTCCTTCGAGCCTACCAAAATCACTGAACCTGTCATACCACCCTGTTCCAACATGCCATGCATAGAAGAGAACTTGAACTCAGGAGGAGATATAGAAAAACAAAATGACATGGAGATGTTAATCTACTCGAGAAAGCCAAAACCAAAGGAAAATCTCACATCTGAAGTACCAAGAGAATTGGAACCGATGATAGCTCCAGATGTTCATAAGTCTAATGAGCCCAAACATTCAGATATAGATCTACCTATTGCACTAAGAAAACAAACTCGGGCATGTACTCTCCACCCTATCTCAAAGTTTATATCTTATAAAGCTCTATCTACAGATTTTCGTACTTTTACATCTAATCTTGATAGTACAAAAATTCCTAGGAGTATTCAAGAAGCGTTGAAAGTTCCAAAATGGAGGGAAGCAATGATGGAGGAAATGCAAGCCTTAGAAAAAAATGATACATGGGAGGTTATGGACTTGCCCAAGCCTGTAGGTTTCAAATGAGTTTTTAATGTGAAGTACAAAGCTGATGGTTCAATAGAACGGTATAAAGCTCGTCTTGTTGCAAAAGGATATACGCAAACATATGGCATCGACTATACAGAAACGTTCGCACCAGTGGCAAAGTTAAATACAATTCGGATCCTATTATCTTTGGCAGTTAACCTGGATTGGCCCCTTCAACAACTAGACATAAAAATGCATTTCTCAATAGGGAACTAGAAGAAGAGGTCTTCATGACCTTACCACCATGATTTTGTAAAAGTGAAGAGGAAAATCGAGTCTGTAAACTTAAGAAATCATTGTATGGTCTCAAACAGTCACCTAGAGCATGGTTCAATAGATTTGCAAAGGTGTTTAAAGGCCAATGTAATCAACAAGGGCAATCAGATCATACTATGTTCTTCCACCAAGCAAAAAATGGGAAGAAGGCCATTCTAATTGTATATATGGATGATATAATCATAACTGGAGATAACACAATTGAGATGGAAAGACTCAAGAGAAGTCTAGCAACTGAATTTGAAGTGAAGGACCTGGGACAAATAAGGTACTTCTTAGGAATGGAAGTGGCAAGGTCGAAAAAAGGTATTAGTGTATCGCAACGAAAATATACCCATGATCTGTTGATTGAAACAGCCATGCTTGGATGTAAACCATACGACACACCTATTGATACAGGAAAGAGAACAGAAGATAGTGGAAACCCAATTGAAACGGATAGAGGCCAACGACTAGTAGGAAAATTAATCTACCTATCTCATACCAAACCAGACATTGATTTCGCAATAAGCGTGGTAAGCCAGCATATGCATTCACCAAAAGAGATTCGTATGGAAGTAGTATACAGAATCCTCAAATATCTAAAAGGCTCATCTGGGAAGGGGTTATTCTTCAAGAAGAGTGAGAATAGGACAGTAGAGGTATTCACAGATGCAGATTGGGCAAGCTCAACAGATGATAGAAGATCAACTACCGGTTATTGTACTTTTGTATAGAGAAACTTGGTAACATGGAGAAGTAAAAAACAAAATGTAGTGGCAAGAAACAGTGCTGAGGCGGAGTTTTGAGCAGTTGCCCAAGGAATATGCGAAGGACTATGGTTAAAGAAACTTTTAGAAAAATTACAAGCCACATTGATACTTCCAATCAAACTCTACTGTGATAACAAAGCGGCCATCAATATTTCATTTAATCCGATTCAACATGATCAAACCAAACATGTTGAAGTAGACAAACACTTCATTAAAGAAAATGTTGAGAGTGGAGTTATTTGCTTGACCTATGTTCCTACAAAAGAGCAAACTGCTGATATGTTTACTAAAGGACTACCGCGACAAAGTTTCGAAGATCTCATTTGCAAATTGGATATGGTTAACATTTATCATCCAACTTGAGGGGGAGTTTAGAGAAATCCCGAAGATTTTATTTAATTCACTTGTATACCATATTTAGATTGTTTTCCATAATTAGCTTGAAGTAATCACGGTAACTTCCAAGTCTCCTAATTTAGGAGATTTTCTTCCTTTTTTTCTTTTCTCACTTGTATTATAAATTGAGGAGTCATAGAAGCTTGGTATATACATAAGAAATAAAAAAGAATTATTCTTGTCTTCACATATGTATACCTAAATACAAGTTACAAATTTTAGATATTAAACTAGTATTAAATCTAAAATTAAACTGAATAATAATTAAACCAAAGATAAGTGAAGCTCCAAGGCATTTCAAATTTCAGTTCCAACATGAACAAGCAGAATTCATGTCAAAATAGAGAACGTGTGATATAATGGGAAAAAATATATGCTTCTTTGCTTGACTCTTCTCGCCAATGAAATAAATGAAGACCACGAAAGTTTATTGCAAAATTACCTCTTAGTAAAACCAGTGAATGACGCATCCCACAAGCAACTTGCTCAACATGCTTCGAACTGAAATATGAGACTTCCATTGGTGTACATTGCGATTTATAGTGACCATGCCCAAGCTGACCAAATGACCCATCTCCACAGGTGAATAACAAACCAGTATCTGAGAAAAATAGTCGGTCAAAAAAAAGTAATCAACCACAATCCTTCAGAATTAGCTCATGTTTGTCTCCCTTTAAAACAAAGCTCTTTAATTCTCATATTCATTTTCCACCAAACATTTACAAAATAAGATATTTTGCTCATAAACCCAAAACTTTCCCGCTTTTTAACCACACATTCTCCAAAAAATTAATATTCAAAACACCCTTTTAAAAAAATAACAGCCATCAAACAAGGGATCAATGTTCAACATAGCATTTAAGCCTTTAAAAGATTAACTTTTATCAACATTGAAGCTATGGTAGGAAACTTGGAGATCAAATTCTGGAATCGAAATTGTGAATAATGAATGTAAGACATAATCCTGTGTAGACGAAAATATATAAGTATTCAAAAAGGCATTAATTTCATCATCAAACTCTCATTTTTAGCAATCTAACATCCAAGTGGCTAATTAAATCAAAAAATCAACAGGAAAACTTCAGCGAATATTTGAAGTACTAAGATTTTAAAATAATTAGACCAAACAAAAAATATAGAATAAGGCATCATTTTCATTAGTCTATCATGATTCATGATAAAGCCTTCAACTTTTGCAGTCCCTATAAACTCTTAATTCCAATTAGTTATTTCTACTAGCAGGTGGTAAGACCAGATAACCTGAAACAAATCCAGAGTGGCTCCAGCCAGCAGAGACATGAGTAATAACAAGGCCTTCCAAAGCCTTTACCAGCTTCGGTTGTAAGCTGTTAATCATTTCCCCATGGCCCAATTGCCCAGAAGTGCCCCTCCCCCATGTCAACACTGTTCCATCTGCACCCATAAACATAACCAATCTTAGAGACAGAGATAATGGATGTAAAACCTATATTCCATTATTGCACAGTACAACCAAGCTGTATACCTGAACAATAAAGAGACCTGTAACGCCTAATACTAAGCAACTATATTGATTACGCAGAAAGTTGTATCCTGCACTTCTTAAATCTTAAGTTTTATCTTAAAAATCTTCAACTTTTTAATGTCCAAGTGAGGCATAATTTCATAATACAGATTACTCCTAAACTTGAATATTTGATAATTGATTGATCTTGATTTGTGGGTCAGGGTGATTCTTTCCTAACACCAGTCAAGAAAACATCAGACAGAAAGTAAACCGTTCGCACACACAATGAACACATAAAATAGTAGTAGTACCAGGGGTGAGTGCAATGACATGGGCGCCGCCGCAGGAGAGGGAAGAGATTGGGCCAAAAGAGGAGAGAGAGTGGAGGAGTTGAGGAGTGTCCTCATCTTGAAGCCTCCCTGATCCTAATTGTCCTTCTGTACCAGCTCCCCAGCTCCAAATTTCTTGTTCCCTTTCTTCTTCTCCTGCTGTCTTGCTTTCCTCCATCGCGTTTCACCGCCAACCAACACGCACATATAGGTTTCATTTGGAGCAGGTTTGGCTAAGTAGCTTTTCATTTTTTTTTTCTAATAAAAAATTACTTTTATACAGTGTTCTAGAGGAAAAAATGCGTGATGATGTAGGGAGGTCGACCCCTTCATCTCCACCCCGTAGGAACTACGAGATCACTCCAAGGGCGCCTTTGGCATCTAGGGGTCACGGACCGACCATAGAACCCTGTTCAATAAATGGAACGCATTAGCTGTCTGTTCTCAGGCCAAGCTATGAACTAGGTAGACATAAGCGTAAAAAAATATAAAAAGACATTTATATAATTTTAATATTATTTTAATTTTTAATCAATTAAAAAATTATTTAATAATTAAAAATAATACCAACAAAACATCTAAAATAAATTTATAGGATCTTTATACATTTTTTCAAAGTTTTCAACAAAGAGAAATTAAGTTGCAAATGTAAATACTAAATAGTAAATAAATAGGAATTTTTGGAAATTTTTCTTTGTTCAAGACTTAAGCAGCTGTTTTGAATTTTTTAAAAAAAAACGAAGTGAAGAAATCAATCTTTAAGTTTTAACTTAAAAGAAATATAAAAAAAATTTAAAAGAAAAAAATGACCGCTAAATAAGACTCCAAGCCAAGTAGCGTTTCAGTCACACATCATTTCTAGGCGTCCTTTTAGAATAATAATTTTAAAAGTACTTTTTACCTTTAAATAAATTTATTTAATATTGAATTTTGTAAGTCCCTGTCTCGTGAAGATAAAAAGGTAAATTTTTTGTAAATTTTAATAAAAGTTGATGAAATATTTTGTTGAAATGTTATCAATCCCATGAAATGTATGAGTAATTTAATTGTTGACTCTTGAGATTGTAATTTTATTTTAGTGCAAACCAAACAGGTGTTAAGTTTACTGACAATGCTGTGAAGCCAATTGTCTTCCCCATTTTTATTGTTCTGTGAAGATATTGATGCGTCATTAATTTATCTCTTATTAGCAATTAACAAGATTTCATTTCGAGTATAACGTCACTTTGCAAGTTTTGTATGGCATCTTAACGTTTAATAACGAGATGATGTAACAAAGGTTTCAAAATTTCGATGGGAATAATTAATAAAAAAGCCAAATGGAGGCATCAAATTCAACTTATAGGTTTGGGGTTTTTGTGCTAAAGAAACAAGAAGCATTTAAGAAGCGAAGGATGACAGAAAAATTCAAGATGGATCAACGTTGATGAGTTGGGATACATCATTGGATCGGAAAGTTATTGGGTTTCGATACCCAATAAATCTCGGACAATGATATTACTTGTTGAAATTTTTAGTCGACATTGATGACTAAATTAAATACCAACACCTCAATGAAACGACTCAATTCAAAAACTATTCGTGGTCATTGGAAGCAACCTAATTTAATTAGAGTTGTTCGTGGCCCGTTCCCGTTTACTTCCTACAGGCTCATATTGGTTTAGCCCATTATCCACCTTTACTTGGCTCATTTGTTGCTTGGTTTTGGCAAACTTATTCATTTTACCTCTGTGTGTGTGTGGGGGGGGGTTACTTCAACCGTGTGTTTATTGCCTTTGGATTGCTGACTTGAAATGTGGATAAATAGTAGTGGTTTTGGGTTGCTGATTTGAAATGTTTGATAAGATTGGGATTGATAAACTAAGCCCAAAAAATCACTGATCTCAAAGAGCCTCCACGACAAAAGTAATGTAAGCAACTCCATTACAATCCATGCAGGAGTAAGACATGGATTGATTCATCTTAAACCTAGTAGGCTCCATGCACTGTGGATTTGGAAGTCCAATCGATTTTGCCATCACCCATGGCTGCAACATCAAGAGAGAGAGTTGTATTTTGAAAAAGAGCAAGGGCCTTGGAAGGAGAGGTAGGGCTTTTTTCTATTCTAGTCGTTCTTGGTTTTTCTTTTATTTATTTAATTTTTTTTTTTTTTGGGGTTTAGAGGAAAAATATTTTTCGACATAAATAAGAATCTTTAGAAATAAAAAGGTTGTAGTTATTAAAATAAAGTAATCATGTGTTTACGTATGGGGTTCTTAGTGGTCTCTATACTCACAAAGAGTGATATGTATCTCTTCTATAATATATACCAGTCTTTTTATTTTTTTAGGTAATGTTAATGTGTTCAATGCTAAGGTTTAATGAAAGATATGTACACTGATTGAATAAAGATTAATGTTTAGATGTATATGTCAAGGTGTTCGAGGAAAAACCAACTATATCATTACACCTCAAAAGCCATTCCAGTGGTTAGATTTTGTTCACTGATCACAAACCTTACTCGACAATGAATTAAAAAAAATAGAATATTTAAGTGGGCAAAGATGCACTTATTACTAAGCAAAAATTTTAAATTATCTTTAACAAGAAATGAAAATGCATCACATTATCATAGTATAACGTTCTTGTGGGCGATTTCCTAGTTCATATGAAGATCAAAAAGAGAACCTACAGGTTTCATACTTGGCCGTCAAATAAAGTATGCAAAGATCTACCGTGGTGCTACAAATACCCTGCTTGCAATTTTTTGTAAGACATTAATCTTAATCATGGCAACTTCCCAGTATTTACATGTTTAGCAAACAATTTTAATTGCAACAATCTCTTATCTGAAGTAAATATGGCAGATAATGCTTCCTTCATGATTTTTCGGAAGCTTTATTGAATGCATTACCCTTCAGAATATCCAAGTAGTCGTTGGAGTGAATTAACTGATGTACAGCCATCAAATTCCTTTGCATCTCCCTTCGGAACTCCGCACCTAACTTTCCCACTGCATACTTGATCAACCTCAGTGGTTGTATGAAAGAAATTTGAATTTTAGGACCATTCCGTGTACGTCTTACTCATAGGAATTATACAGAAAAATAAAAAACAAAAGTGAAAATCTTCCTTGAAGCAGAGTGATAGGGCAACTACAAGAAAAAAAATTAATTCATATGAAATGCTTTCAACTTCTCAAATTAGCAAGAGTCATTAATCACAGCTGAACTGTTGAATCTAGAAGCAAGCATTTCCCAGTCCTACAAGCTTTAACCGAGCTGCACAGAATAATAAATTGGCTATCATAAAACTTTATTTCTACGGTTGCACTGCAGTTTTCTGTGGTTGGTTTTATATTCTCCCTTTTCAATATACACACTTCTATATTTGTATTAACTTTATAATTATTAGTAAAATAAATATTATTATATATTAATCAAGAAGACCAAGGCTTAGCTCAAGTGGTAAAAGTGAAGCCTTAGCAAATCATTTACATGGGTTTGACTCCTCTTTTTAAGGCGGCATGGATGAAAATTCTTCAAAAAAATCAAATTGGTTAATTCAATGTTTAAAAAGCATAAATGGGCACCGAGGCGTTTTTCTTAGAAAGGCCCGTAAGGCTCAAGGTGTTCGAGGATAAGCCTCATCATAAACCAAAAAAATGTCAAAATGCAAAATATATGCATAATAACTCATAAACTATCTTCAACATTAAATTTATAATATAATGTCCAAACAAATAAAAGAAAAATGTATAAAGTAACAAAAAGAAATTGTTACTTATAGTTTGTTGGTGGTCTATGAAAAAATATGTAGTTAATGTTGAGGGTGATATGGGAATTCAAAATGATAACATGATGTTACTAACTGAAGAATCAATTGAGAAAACCTGCATGTGCCATGTGTCGATCAACAGGGCCCACATTTGGACAAAATGGAAGCAAATGCCATGTATTGTTGCTTTTCTCACCACAAAAAATTGCTACAGTACACAATTAAGTCTTTACTAACTCAGAAAAAAGTAATTAGCTACAAAAAGAAATCATTTCAGCTACAGTACACTATCAATTTTTTATCCAACAAAAATAAAATAGGTACAATAAATAACTAGTTTTTGCTACAGTTCACGCATTTTCCTTCCCACAGTCAATAGATCTACACACATTAGAAGGAAAACCATGTGGGAATTGTTTTGATGTGAAAATGAGTACTACAAGAATGAATAGTGAAATCGGCACTCTCTATTTTAATGTAGTAGTGATAAAGTAGTTATGTGTTTTCATGGTGGGTTCTTATAGCATTTCAAGAAGGGTTGTGGATTGAACCAGAAAGTGTATTGCTTCTCTCCCAAAATGCTTATATAGCAAGAAAAATTATGGAGGATCCACTTAAGTTTTTATGCCTTTTTTCTACGGTCTCTCTCTTGTACATGTGGTCCATATTTAATGAAATTCACATCGCATTGGAGATGGTCTTCTCTTCATTCTCATTTTGCTTAGTACATGTACAGCAATTCACATTATTGCATTACATATGCTCTTAGTGAATTGTAAGATTGGTCCATGCACGCCACCCTCACATTCCTATGCTAGCTTGCTTCCCGTGCTCCAAACAACTAGTTACCAAACCACTACTCCCTTCTTGACCTTTCTATTCACGACAACTAATTTCACCTCCATTGTCTAATCGAATTGTTAATTTTTCTTTGTGAACATATAAGTGATGAGAATACTAATTATATGTTGGTAAAAAATTGTATCCTAAAAATTGTATCCAGGAACACAATTTTTAAAATGGAGGAATTTATTTTTTTATTTTTTAAACAATTTAAATGCATGAACTCTCAGACACCTAAGCCCCCCAAGCACAACGCAAACATTAATACCAAGTAAGACTACAAGGAATCTTCAAGTCTCGCCTCAAGACAATTCATGACTTTCTCAAATCTAGGATTTAATTTGGTCTTTATTTTCTCTGAATTTCAGTCATTTGTCTTATATTCACATCCAGTTGACTCCCAACATCCTTCAATCATCAATATATGTTTCGAATCATTTTTTGATTGTTGGCAATTTAGTCCCTAAACTTTGTAATTCTTCATTTTTGGCTCAATTTTGTTAATTTCCTTCAATTTCACCTCCAAGTATCGAGTTTCACCCAACAAACAATATGTACACAATATTAGGCTATAATTAGTCAAAATTAATACAAAATATCTTCATTTAATGACATAAATAAGTATATAAAAT